CCATGGAATTTCCAAGGCTGTCATCTTTACGAGAGCAGATTGCCAGGTCTTCCTCCCGTGAAGCCGCTGGGAGGATTTGAACCACCAACCTTTCAGTTAGCAGCTGAGCACTTAACTGTTTGTGCCACAAGGGCTGGCTCTCGTTCTCCCTCCCTCCCACCCTTTCTCTATGATAAAACCTGTGAGCGCCAGAACCCGCGTAAGGCAGAAACCTGTCAGAGAAGGAAAACTCAAATATTTTCCACTAAAACGAGCCCTCCGAGTGCTCACCCACTGTGCCAGGCCCCTGAAGTGCTTTACGTGAGAAAGATAAGCTTCTGCTAGGCTCAAAAAAAAAAAAAAATTTGCCATCGAGTTGATTTCAACTCATAGCAACCCTATAGGACAGAGTAGAACTGCCCCGTAGGGTTTCCAAGGCTGTAATCTTTACAGAAGCAGACTGCTACATCTTTCTCCTGTGGAGCCGCTGGTGGGTTGGAACCACCAACCTTTCAGTTAGCAGCTGAGCGTTTAAACTGCTGCACCACCAGGGCTCCTTCTGGCAGGTTTAACCCATCATTATTATTTACTATGGGTTTTTCTGTTACACGAAGCCCAGCCTGATCCTACTAATGCACGCGGTCAGTTGCTGATTTAGGATAGCCAAGAAATCAGTGTTCCTGAAGGATGGCAAAGGCCCAAGACACAAATCAGAGAACTCTAAACCTACAAAGAAAGGTCTGGTGATCTGCTTCCATAAAACTTACACCTAGAAAAACCTAGGGAGCAGTTCTACTCTGTAACACATGGGGTTGCCTTGAATCGGAATCGACTTGATAGCTGTCCAGTCAGCGCCCGGTCCTGCGCCATCCTCAGGATCGTAGTCATGCTCAAGTCCAGACAGCAATGGGTTTTGTTTTGTTTTTCTTTTGACCTGGAAACCCTGGTGGTGCAGTGGTTAAGAGCTACGGCTGGTAACCAAAAGGTCAGCAGTTTGTATCCACCAGGCTCTCCTCGGAAACCCTATGGGGCAGTTCTACTCTGTCCTGTAGGGTCGCTGTGAGTCGGAATCAACATGACGGCATTTAGTCATGATAGCATGGGACGGGCAGGACCGCCCGGTGGAGCCACAGAGGAGAACGTGTGTTCATGTCCAAGAGGAAGAGGAAGAGGAGGGGAGCTGAGCATGCCTCATTATTCCTCCTCAGTGGACTCAGGCTGATACTTCACCTCCTCAGGGCAGACTCATTGGAGGGCAGAGGGCAGCCCAGAGTTACAGCTAACAGAGTGCCTTTCCTGGGAACAAGACATCAGGAGTGGGGAGGAACTGGACCCCGCTGACCATCCCCAGCTTTTCCTTCCTCAGCTCCTTGGGCTGGCCCAGTGAGCCTATGGCCAACCCGAGATGCGACGGCCACCCTGGGACCTTTGCTCTGCTCCCACCTGCGTAAGCCCACACTGCCCACCAGCCACATTCTCTTCTGGGTTTGCTGCCGGAGAGATTCAAAGGCAGGCAGCCCAGACCAGACGCTGTCCCAGGATACGCAGGGCATTAGAGTGGTCCATGAAAGATAAAGCTCTGAGTCCCCTCCATACCAGATGCTGAACATGTATTCCCTGATCTACTTTCTGTCCAAAATCATGTCCAGGCATGCCCAATGTAGCTTCACAGATGTTTTGTAAGGAAATTGAATATCTCAGAGATACTTCAGTAACAAAATAGCTATAAAAAGGTGGCCCGGATTTGAACACAATTTCCTTTCCATTATCAAATTCCCTGGATGGTAGAAAAGGTTAATGTGCTCGGCTGCTAACTCAAAGGTTGGTGGTTCCAGTCCACTCAGAGGTGCCTTGGAAGAAGGCCTGGTGATCTACTCTTAAACAATCAGACATTGAAAACATTATGAAGCACAGTTCTACTTCAACACACATGGAGTTGCTATGAGCCGGAGTCGACTTGGAGACAACTGTTTTTTTTTTTTATTATTAAATTCCCAGAGAGCCATTTAATCGCAAAGTTTAAATCAATCCCTTTACAAGTTGAAGTTAAAAGATACTAAAAATCCCAGGGAAGTAAAGTCTGAACTCAAATTCTCTTGCCCTGTGTGTTGAAGTGCAAACTGCAAAGTTCAATTACAAACAGAACACCGGCTCCCCAGTTTCTTCTTCCACTCAGGCTCAGCTAGAGGGGTCTACTGCCTGGGTGGAGCCGGGGCCCTTGCAGCAGCTGCTGCAGCCTCTGTCTCTGGAACGGGGGTGGAGCGCCCAGCGCCTCACAAGTCAGTGTAACCCAGCGTCCGCTCTCCGAGCCCGACTGTAAGGAGCCCAGAGTGGAGAGGACGCACGACATTGTCTCAGCCCTTTGCCACGCCCCACGAACGGAGAACGCCGTTCTCCCGCCTCCGTCAGTCACTCCACGTGAGACAGGAGTTGGCCGGCCGCGGAGGGTTAAAGCCTCAGGCATGACAAAGCTTTGACACCCACAACCCTTTCGGTGGAACCAGCAAACAACCCTGTTCTGCTTAACACTGCCTTGCAAGCGGTTCTTCAGAGGGACCAGTTTGAGCCAGTATCCTGGGCATGCGCATTGCATCGGGGGACGACTGACCGGCGCGCTTTTTCTAGAGGTGAGTCCCCGAGGAGACTCGAACCGTCCCGGGGAACCGCACATGCGCAACGTCCCAGAATAAGTGACGCCAACTGACCCGACAGCCGCCTTGACTTACCTCTTGTGCGCGCCCCTAACACACCCTTTTCCCAGAAACCCACACCCCTTTCATGAATAGATGAAACCATTTCCCGCCTGGAAACTTTTACCAGCCTTGTAAACCCTTTATTCGGGGAGACAAAGGCTACCGTTGCATTGTCCCTCTGTCTCTGCCCGCGAGCTACTTTTGCTCAATAAAGCTTTGTTCGTGCAGAAAACTTGAGCCTCTGCTGGTCATACTTGGTCAGCAGAAGGCAAGAACCTCGTCGGGGCCGCCCAGGTTGGGCAGAAGACCCCCGGCAACACAGGCACAATGACTTTTCCAGAATTACGACTACCAGGACCGTCACAGAAACCCCATGAAGTCTGAAGGGAAAGAAACCGTTCATGGATTCGATCCCAGCCGGACATTGTCATGCAGGACAAGCTGTCTGGCTCCCGTGCCCTGCCTGCGTGAAGCCCCACTGGGAAAACTCTCCCAGCAACAAGTTACTGGGGTGTTATCCGTTTAACATTTCTGTGCTTCCTGAGTGCCGGCTCCAGGTGTCACTTGAGGCATTCCTGCCTCCTCAGGAACATCGGCAGCGGGGACAGTTCCATCAAGGGCTCACTTCAGGCACCTCTTCTGCACCCAGCCATCAAAACCGAACCCCTGGCTGCGAGTTGATTGTGGCTCACGGGAGCCCCACGCGCAGAACTGCTCCCTGGGGTTTTCTTGGCTGTAATCGTTATGGAAACAGACCGCCAGGTCTTTCTCATGCAGTGCCGCTGGGGGGGTTCAAACTGCCGACCTTTCAGTTAGCAGCTGAGTGCAAACCGTTCGCACTATCCAGGGACCCTCTGGTGTATCTTTAAAAAAACAAAAAAACATCGCGGCTAAGTGGATCCTGACTCACAGCAACCCCAGAGGGCAGAGTAGAACTGCCCCGTAGGGCTTCCAAGGGGCAGCTGGTGGATTCCAACTGCCCATTTTTTGATAAGCAGCCGAGTTCTTAACCACTGTGCCACCAGGGCTCCACCCAGCATATCTAGGACCTGTTAATTCCATTGTCTATGGAGCTGTGGGCTCAAGGTCCCCGAATGCTGCCGAGGATGAGTTCTGCCTGGTAACAGATCTCCACTGTCGTTCGGAAAGTCCACTGCCGCGGTGGCTGTTTATGGTCTTAGCCATGATTGCTTGGGCCATGACCCTGCCTCCCAAGGAGCTCAACTTCATCCCCTTTGTTCCAGCTGAAGAATCGCCTGACACATCCCGGCACTGAGGCCACCCTGATGCTCCTGAAGCTCAAGTCCCCAGGGAAATCCGACTGTAAATAGCCCAGGGCCTGTGGAGACTGCTTTCTGCTACATCTTCCTGAGGCTGGGACACACCGGTGGTATTTGGTGTCCCTCTGCTATTTCCCCACTAAGCAGCCCTGCAGGCACAGTGGTTACAACCTCACACACTCAGCTGTGAACCAAAAGGTCAGCGTTCAAACCCACCAACCTCTCTGAGGGAGAAAGATGTGGCAGCCTGCTTCTCTGAAGACAGCAGCCTTGGAAATCCTATGGGGCAGTTCTGCTCTCCTGTAGGGTTGCCATGAGTTGGAATCGACTCGACAGCCAGTTTTTGTTTGGTTATTTCCCCACTAAGAGGCCCTGTTGGCACAATGGCTAAACACTCAGCTGTTAACTGAAAGGCTCGTGGTGCAAACCTACCCAGCAGCTCTTGGAAACAAAGACCTGGCTACGTGATCCCGTGAAGATTAAAACCAAAAAGACCAACCCGTCGTCATGGAGTCGGTTCTGACTCAGGGACCCCTCTGAGGCAGATCTACTCTGTTGCAGGGGGTATGAGTCGGAATCGACTCCACAGCCCCCAGCAACACAAGCCCATACATTTAATGGCCCAACGGGACCACTAGGGGACAAGCTACTTTAGGTGTGTACACATAGGTTATCTGCTCAGCTGCTCACTGAAAGGCTACCAGTTTGAACCTACCCAGAGGCTTCTTGGGAGAAAGATGTGGCCATTTGCTCCCAGGAAGATTCCAAAAACCGTTGTCATCAAGTTAATTCCGACTCATAGCGGCCCTACAGGACTGAGCAGAACTGCCCCTTAGGGTTTCCAAGGCTGCAATCTTTATAGGAGCGGACTGCCGCATCTTTTTCCCGCAGAGAAAATGGGTTTACTCTGTGGGTTCGAACTGCTGACCTTTTGGTTAGCAGCTGAGTGCTTAACCCCTACGCCACCAGGGCTCCTTTTCTCAACAGTAGAGGAGCAGTTATTTACCTCAGAGGACAATGACTAGCAGTTCAATGAATGATGATAAACCCACACACAAAAAATCGGTTAAGCAGAGTTCATTTATTTCACCCACTGTGCTTCCGAGACACCCCACGTAAACACTGAGACTGGTATCTGCAAGACCATCTGACAGGGGTCAGAACATCATGCCTTCCAAGCCGTCCTCCATAAACTTCTTATACAAAGCCATGAACTTGGCCACAAATGCTTCCAGGTGGTAGATGGCTTTGCTGCCCAGCTGCAGGCGATGTTCATAGAAGGCCGCCATCTGGGCCACCTCCCCCTTCAGCTGTCCATCACAGTTGTGCAGGAGTTCTGAAAGGAGGCCCTGCAGAACGACAACCAGCGATTAAAATGGGGACGTTTACAACACATCAGCAGTTCTTTATCTTGCATTCAAAAACAGAGGCCAACTGAAGGATGTCCTGAATTCCTTTATGAGAACCAGCAGTCTTCATCCAAAAGCAAAAGGCTTCACACCTTTTCTGGAATGTGAAAATGTGGTGCTTATCTACCACATCCCAAATATTTACTTCACAAGGATGCAAGGATATGAATAAAAGATGCTTACTGCATCATTATTTATGATAATAATAATCTGTAGCCAACCTCAAGTGCCACCAATAGGGATCACACTAAGTAAATGGTGACATACTGATACAATGGAATGCCATCACACATCCATTAACGAGAATGAGGTGACTCTGTACTAAGAAAGAGTGTACACGGCATATGGCTGAACGAAAACACAGCTGCAGAACAGTGAGTTTTGTAAAACTACACACACAACACGCGCACACATATGTACCCATCAGTATGTGAAAAAAGTTTTAAAAAAAACAGTTGCCATCCAGTTAATCCCAACTCACGGCAACCCCACATGTGTCAAAGTAGAACTGTGCTCCACAGTAGATTACGAAGCCTGTCTTCCCAGGCACCTGTGGGTGGACCTGAACTGCCAACCTTTCGGTTAGCAGCTGAGTGCTTAACCGTTTGCACCACCCAGGGACTCCCCGCGAAAAGAACAGAGATCTGTTAAAAGTGGCTGCCCTTGTAGAAACAGAGCGGTGAACTTCACCTTTTGCTTTGTATACTCAGTACCACTTGAATTTTTTGGTGTAATCAGTTTTTTGGTTTTAATAGAAAACAAAAACCTCTGAATTCCCTAATATCTTGCAATGCTCAGTCTAGCTCACAGGCAGCCGACTGACCCAACCTGAAGCCTGGAGCCATGCCCACAACAGCCTATGTCTGGACCTGCCTCTTCTTCATCGACCTCTTTCCACGCGTGCTGAGATGCCTCGCTGTTGCAAACACTGGCCCTCCGCTACTTACACGGCTGCCTCCTTTCCTCCTTTGAAGCCCCCAAGTCTCCGCGCAAACCTAACGTCCTCCGAGAAGCCATCAACGACCTCCCAATCTAAATTAGCACGGCCCTCCACGATTATGCTACTGCCTTGTTACTTCCTGGATAGCACTTGTTCGGAAATCCTGTTGCCTGTTTACCATTTCACCCTACCAAACAACAGGGCCCTCGCCTGTCTTCTTCAACTACCCTACGTGCTTGCCGGGCCCATGGCAAGGCTCAGCCAGCATCTGCTGAGGTGAAAAGCTGGAGGAGGCTCAGTTAATATCTGAAGTGATAAGCTGGAGGAGGCTCAGTTAACATCTGAAGTGATAAGCTGGAGGAGGTTCAGTTAACATTTGCTGAAGTGATAAGCTGGAGGAGGCTCAGTCAACATCTGCTGA